GGGACAGGCGGGGCTTGAAAATTCCCCCTTGTCCAAAGTGGGGAATGACAGAAAAAGTTTGAGAACCACTGGTCTAACTGGATGCAATTAGCTGGTTTTCCTCAATAGAATCTGACTGGATGATCTGGTTGAATTGTCTCTATAAAGAGACGATATGTGCTGTGAATTGACCCTGTAAAGATCAACTGAGTTGAGTTTAATTGAACATTTTGGAGCCTTTTCTTTCCATTATACCAACAAAGTAAAAAGTTTCTTCATCTGGATCAGATGCATCAGTAACAATAATGTTTACATTTAAACCTGAAGGTAACACCTACCACGTAGAGCACGTTGACGACAGTCTGTCCCTGCTTCAGAGCCGTTCCTTGAATGATGTACTGAGCCTTGATGGTTGCATCACTGTTGCAGGGGAAGCTCTCACTGATCTGCTTCAGATTCAGGAAACTGTTGCTTTTGGAATAAGCGGGTGAGAGGTACAGGTAGGCTTTTCCGTAGTCCGGTCTCCGTAAATCGGGAATGAAAGGTTCGTTTTCCTTCGTATCCTTACTAAGAACCTGTTAGGTGGAATTAAGGGTTACGTTAGAACAATAACTTCCAGCCATCTTGGTTCAGTCAAGGAAAGGACCACACAGAGATATCAAGAAGCAGTTCCTTGTTTTTCACTTAGACATGGGGATAATAAAACTGATGACGTGATGTGAATTGGCGCTATAGAAATAAACTGCACTGAATTGAACTGTATCAGTTACCCGGATACTGAACCTGTAAATTGGAGCAAACCCCATAAATCTATTATATTTTCGGAAATATGACATTTTCAGACCATTTCCATTAATCAATGTAATTTCTCTGGCTGTATATACTGACAGGTTTGTTTGGTCTGTTTATGTTCAGGTGAATTTAGTTAGTTTGGAAATTGGAAATACACACAAAGGAGACTAGTTAATTGATATTAACTAGCCTCCTTTGTGTGTATTTTGTTTATTCCTTTGTTGATTGTCAAAACCAATTGTCTGATATAAATTCCCATTCATTCATCCATTCTTTCATTCATTCATTCAAATATTTCTGCAAAGACTACAAACCCCCAGAAGTTTACACTCACCTTTATAGAGATGCTTCCGGTCCACCGAGACGTGTCCAGGGAAAACGTAGCCATGCCTTTGGCGTTGGTTGTGAGCGCCAGAGTCTTGTCGTTTTCCACGAACAGGTAGAGCAGCTCATTGGCTACAGGTTGACCGTCTGCACCGACCACTTTGACCTGCAGACAGACGGAGAGGATTGACCACATCTGTCCGGACTCATTTCGTCCATCTTGAACTGTTTCTCAATCACTTTTTTAGAGTTTATTTAACACCGACCCCTACGAATATTAACTCACGAGCTGCTACCTTTACTTTAGGAGTCGGAGAATATTTCACCATGTAGTTCCTCAAAAGATCTGCAGGTGTTCCTGATTATTGGGTGGTATGACCGGCGTTACTTAGGGAGGCCAATTTCCATTGGTGGAAAGTAACAAAGTACATTTACTTGATTACTGTACTTAAGTACTTTTCTGAGTATCTTTACTTTACTTGGGTCATTTTTAGGGGGGTTCTTATAATTTTCACTCCAATACATCTTAAAGTCAAATATTGTACTTTCTACTCCACTCCATTTCCAGGAAGCTGCTAGTTATTTTTTCCTTTTATCTCAGATTAACTAATTTAGTAATCCACTGCTGCTGTTTTTCTTTATTGAAATGTGATTTCATCATTGCAGATAGTAGCCCTTAGGACTGAATTTGAACATAAATGTTTTAGAGAGTTAATGATGTGAGGAACTCATTGCAGATATTAGTAGTTTATACATATCATTAAGGTGTTAGTCGTTGCTATGTTGCCAAGTTGTTAAGTAGGATGAGTCTCAGATCTGTGGTGATAGATTCAACCTTGAACCTCTATTCTACAGTAGAAAACTCTTGTTTTCTTTTTGGTTTGTTTTTAAATAAAAAAATAATAATCAAAATAGCTGTGCTTTTTTCTGTGGCTTTTTTTTTCTAAGCAGTTTTATGTTGATCTTCTAACAGGACCATGATCACCAGAACATCTCCAGGTTCATCCGTTTGACTTTAATGGAGCTCTGCACTGGAAAAAAATCGAAATCTAGATAAGTATTTTTTTCTTAAAATAAGTGCATTTGTTCTTGGATTGAGGAGGTAAAAGAGACACTGCCAATAGAACAAGACAATATACACTTAAAATAAGAAAACACAATTGCATTGTCTTGTTTCAAGTGCATATTCTCTATCTTATTTTAAGAGTAAAAATACTCATTCCATTGGCAAACTATCTCATTTACCTACTTAGAATAAGGATAAATACACTTAATTTAAGAAGTTTTTACTTATTTATAGATCGTTTTTGCAGTATGGAAGCTCAGTCTATACCAAAACGATTGCACTTCAAAAAATGTAAATCTGAATAAGTCATT